ATTTCAGTGAAGGATGAAGGCTACGTGTATATGGTGGGTGTATATAATTTGAAAACGAATCAGGACATTAACTTGGCTACATAATTATGGTTCATTTTTAAGCTGCTGTTCAGTTTTCATTCTTCATCAGAGGAGAATGGAGTCAATAGCGAGCAGGTTTTCGGTCCTGCTCGGGTTCAGTATTTAGGCCAATCATGTTTAATACAGCTTTTGGGCAGGGAAACAGCTTGAGAGCTGCTCAGTGCCTCAGGCTACCAGCTGCTCGCCTAATTGGCCTGGGAGCACAGTGGAAGGAAAGCCGAGACACCAAGTCAGCTGGCTTCGGTATTGTTCCCAACTGGAAGAAACCTGCTTATTGGTTTGAAGTGGCATCCAGTGTCGTAGATACACAGCAACCGTTTGCTCAGGGATGGTGCTATCAATACTAGCTGACCGGTTCCTTTGCATCAAGGCAGTGTGAGTGAAGTTTGAATCCACATCTTTCTCTTCCGTTGGGCAACACTTGAAGGCTGCTGAGCTAAAATTTATTTTAAGATTGAGCCTTTCCTCATCTGAGTGGGAGGTTTCACAAGGAAGCATGGCAGTCACATAAGACATATTGAAGAGAGAGCCTAAATAATATCCGTAGATACATACAGAAGGGAAGTAGACATAGAGGACAAAGAGCGGAGTTTGGGGAAGTAGGGTGGTGTGCTCTGAATTATTCTTCCAGATACTCAGTTAACTTGACTTTGACAGTCAGCGAGGCTCAAAATGTATCCTTCATCAAGAGTGGTAAGTGCTAAGCTACAGGGGAAAGAAGAGTTTCTGGTTTTGGTAGATTTTCTTGTGAAGAAATCCCAGGAGGTTCTTATAAGGAATTTGAAATATTTGGGGTTGTTAACCTTTAAGTTGTTAAAATCCATGCCACTCTTATTTTGTTTGGGAAGATAATATTTTCTATGCAGTTAACACTTCGTTTATGAAGTAAATGCTAATAAATTTGTTTTATTTAAGACATTCATCTGTTTGAATGTGTAAGGAATGTAGACAAATAACTGCTTATGATCACAGTGATTTCTTTCTATAATTATTTAAATATTGTTCAGTTGGGTGATTTGTTTCTATAATTACGTAAATACTGTTCTGTTGGTTTTTCAAATATTTTTGTAGGTAGGTATGTGTCTAGTGCATTTTCACAGGTGATTTTATTAGTTGAGACCCTAACAAAATAGGGCTAAGCAACCAAACTTGGTCTGTCCATTTCTCTCCAAGTTAATAAACTGCTTTGACTTGAAAGGGCAGTGATCTTGAAGATAAATAATTTAAAATTTTTCCATTACCAGTGGTGGCATACAGGTCGAATGCTGCTATTAGTGCTTCTGCTGAAGGAGAAGACATAACTTGCCCATTATATGTTATTTTCTGGTAGCATCTGACTGGCAAACCAACTTGTTGCTAGCCATGGTATCTCCTGTTTTTTTTCTACAAGCAGATGGTTCAAGAAACATAAGTCATGGGAAGATGCTGGCCGTTAGAGAAATGGGATAAAGGGGGATTTCAAAGAGCATGTAGACAAATGGGTGAGAAAATAAGCTTGTTTGGTAGTTTACAAAACAACTACTTCTGCCAACTGAAGACTTTCTGCAAATAATTCATCTGCTGGTAAATAACCAGTGTAGCAACCTTTATTATGCTGATCATATATGGTACTGCCTGTGTGCAAACTGTCCTTGCAGTTGATGAAAGTTTGCATGTAGGACAACTGCAGATGACAGAACAGCATTTTTCCCAACTGTATAGTAATTATATTAATCATTACGGTGAACCTAAACAGGCAGTAATAAAAAAGTGTGAGACTTTTTATGCCTTAAAATTATATATTGTATTACTACGAAAAACTGCCTTGTATTCAAAGTACCACTTGTTTAAATGCCGCTTAGCTTTTTAAATTGATACAGATAATTAGTGTAAAACCTAGCGTGGACAGTCTTAACCCAGACATTTGGCTCTTAATAATTTTGCCTAGACATTTTTCTTACAAAATCAAGTTTAAATAGAATGCAATGAAAGCAATGAGACTGTAGGTCATCATTTTGTCTACAGGATCTCTGATAGGAAAGAAATTACCTAACCTGATTATTTTTTTTAATTTATTTCAGTGAAACCAATGCAACCTTACATAGACAAGTTCTCATAATCAAAGTTAAATTTGCAGGGCTATCATCTAAGGAGATTTTTGCTAAACGAAATATGCTGAATAAATACCTAGCATCTTCTTCCTCCCCATCTTCCACATGCAAAAAGTCATTAAAGCATATGTTGTGTTTTCTACTGTTCTTCTAAAAACCTGTTACAGGACTTTTACTTCCAGGATGATTTAAATTTTATAGAAGAGCAAACGAAGTAGTTAATCAAATCCTCATCAACTCCTCAAATTTTCTAACTCCTGATTAACATAGTTATCCCAAAGACTAGTCAGAGTTGCATGTTACCATTACTGGACCTCTTCCCCCACCCCCAATAAATAAGTAAATAAATAAAATCCCTATGGATCAAATCACGTGCCATTTAACAGTTAAACTGAATTTTCAGAAAGTAACAAAAAAGCTTCCTGACTTCACAGGAAAAACTGCAAACTGTTTATGACTTTTTACAAAACTTGCAATTTTCCTTGTTGTCCTATTAATACACTACAGTTAAATAGGCCATCAGGATGGCTGACCAGGTTAGACACTTTCAGGTGCTTCATCTGCTTCTCACTAGCTTTAGCTTCCCTTGCACTTCAGCAGTTTATATCCTGCACATCATCACAGCTTTTGGTTTTTAACTGTGGCAGTTATTTCAAAAAGGTGATTTCAGTTCTTCATCGTAAAGACTAGTTTTCATTTTAACTTGACGTTTAAAGCCTCCTTATTCTTTGATAATGCAACTGTCTGCGTACCATACTTGTGAAGGGTCTCCTCCTTGCATGGGTTCTCGCTTTCCCCTCTCTCCGTACAAATTTGCAGGTGATTGTATGCAATAGCCTCTCTGGTAATTGCATCTAATCATACATCTTTAGCTTTTAAAGTGCACTTACCACGTTAATTCTTGAATCATCACGGTTTCAAATACCTCGTTAGAGGAACACTTCTCATCGCTCTTCTTGCAAATCATGTCTGTTTCTCACAAATGTTTACTTTTTACATGTAAAAGGGGAAGCTTCCCTCCGCACCAGCCAGCCTCATCAGCCCTGGAGTTCTGTGCAGTTATGATTCAAATCTAGCTGAGAACTACTACTCTGGTGTAGAAAATACAAATTAAATTTGTTTCATTTCAGCCTCTCTAGGTGGTGTTCAGTAGCCATGTAGCCTTGGGCAGCGTTGTGGTTAACTATGTCCCCTACCAAATGCTTCCTCTAATCTGTTACCGGCAGGAAGGGGAGAGTTGCCAGTGCCTTTTTTTTGTAGCCATGTTCAGCCATGAAACCTGAGTCTGGTGCCTCATCTCCTTCCGAAATAGGACGTTTGCCAGCAGTGATGGGAGAGGTAGCAAATGAGAAAGGAAGGAGCAAAAACTGTGACTGATGTAGTGGGGAGCAACAGATGTCATGTGGAAAATTGAGATATACTCAATAAGCATTTTCTACAAACATTTTCATACTGATGTAACAGTTATGGGGTGTGAGATATGAGCATATGAGAGAGTGAGTGAGTTTAAGCTTTGAAGCATTTCAGACAGATGGAAGTTTGTGGTTGAAGACAATTTATGTGGAATTACAGGCTAGTGGTGTTCACAGCTTAATGATTCTGCTTTAAAAGTGATTTTATGTTATAATTAAAGAGATGTGGTGAAAGAGGATAGAAGGAGCTGGGTTACAGGAAGCAAGGGAAGTAAAGGCCAAGAGCTGCCGCCGCCGTGAAAAGCGTGTCATCCAGAAAGAGCTTTAGCCTGTCTAAGAACATAATACAGAGAATTACAGGTTACTCTTGTGGTACCGACTTCAGCTTGCACTGTTGACCAACGCAGATTTCTTTGAATACATTATTAAAGGCAATATCACAATAAATGAATTGGAAAAGATGCTTTGACATCTGTATTACAAATCATATTAAAGTACATACTTATCTAGAACAGAACAAACCTGTGTCTGAATCAGCACAAAGTATTTGATATTCAGCAGCAGAAAAAAAAAATGCTGTAATACTGCGGGTTTTATTTTCCAAATAGGCTTTTAGCACTTGAAGCAGATTTCAATTACTCAGAGAATTGCCCTTTGTATAAAAGGAAAAATGGTTTATTTGCAATGTACTCACCTTGCCAAAATGTCTTGTTTGTAGCTTGCTTTTCCATGTTTCTTTCTTTTTGATGTATTTCTTTTTGCTGCATATGTATGACAGCAAGTGATCAGAGATCACTCTTCACCTTAATGTTAACTGTTTTGTAAGCACCTCTTGCTTCTGTTCTTGTCAAACTTGAAATTAATAAATCTAATTGAATTTTTGCAAACCCATCTATTGTAATGCTTTACACTTGGGCTTGTATCAATTGAAATAACAAAACAATGGTTTCTTCTGAATTCCAGTGCCTCTACACAGTTAATTGACTAAATCTCTAGTGTTAGTATTTCTACTGTTTTCAGAAAATTAATATTCTCCATATTGCTTGAGTTATTCCTTTTATTATAATTTTTAAATAGTTGCTTTATGGAAATTATTTGGGATATTTTGGGGCTGTCACCATTTTGATAGCGTTTTATAGACATTTTTCTTTAGAGATGATGGCTTTCAGAAACATTAGCATGAGTCATAGAATACAGTATGTATTCCCTAAGTATATTGTTTTCTAGTCTTCATGCTCTGTATCAGACTAACTCAACTTTTATTATTCATAGATTTTATAGATTAAGTTTTGCTTCAGATGTGTCAGAAATATGTATGACAGCAAGTGTTTCCTTTATTGCTGAGGAGTTATTGCTTTTCACTAGATCATTTGCATTCTATGATTTGAACTTCAAAATTGATGATATTTACATTGAAATGTTGTATTTGTCATCCTTAACAGAAAGGGCTATTGCAAGACATGAAGTCAGAGAAATAGAACAACGTCATACAGTAGATGGCCCCCGACAAGATGTGACACTGGATGAAGAAGATGATGTGGTGATTATTTACAATAGAGTACCTAAGACTGCCAGCACATCCTTCACAAATATTGCCTATGATCTTTGTGCGAAGAACAAATATCATGTTCTACATATCAATACAACCAAAAATAATCCTGTTATGTCTCTGCAAGATCAGGTAAGCTGCTGCATTTGGGATGTCGTTATTAAACAAGGGGAAAGTATAGAAAACTTTTTTGCTATTGCAAACTGATGGAATTGGGTTTTATGTCACATTTTCCAATATAAATGAATACTAATGTGTTTATATTTTCTTTGTAGATAATTAATATTATTTATTAAATAATAGGTTTAAGTTTTTGCTGGGCTACTGGAGGTGGTAAGTCTCTGTTTATCAGACAAAAACAAAGCTAAAAAGGGATCCAGCTAGGGCAGAAATGACCTTTGTTGTTACAACTGTAAAATTTAATTGTACGGTCAACTGTCTCCCTTTTGACTGTGTAATAATATTTGCCTGTCATCTCCATCTGCAGTGAATGCAGTCTTAGGCGCTTTCCTCTCTGAGTAGTGCAGGCACTGTGCCATGCTGCTATGCTTCTGTCTTTGGTACTAGGTCTGGTCAGGTCTCACAGGTGATAAAAAAACAGGTAGAAAGAAGTGGTTGTAAATAGCTTGCACTCCAAAGGGTGGGTCACTTTGCACCCACTCAAAGCTCTCACTAAAATCAGTGTAGTCCCAGGCTAGAAATGATCATGGCTACCACTGCATCAGATGGTGAGTGTTAAAAAAAGATGTTGGAGGATCAATGCCCTGTTTTTCTTGGGGTGTGGTGTGGTGAGGGAGTAGGTTTTTTGTTTTATTTTTAAAAATAATATTTCTTTGCTCATCACGAGTGCACATGCAAAGAACCGAGGTCAGAAGTCTGAAACATCACTATGTCATCATCCCTGTCTGTAAAACAAATGTTTCCAAACTCTCGAGTATGTACTACCGGTTGTTTGCTGATCATCTTAAGCTGATATGCAGTAGAGGCAGGAGCTGTTCTGCATTGCAGCGTGTCAGCACTGAGGCTTCCAGCTCCTTTAAGTGCATGCCTACAGGCAGAAGCAGCTCAGCACGGCTGCGGGAGTGGGGCGAGGGGAAGCAGAGGGTACCAGGCCCTCCACTTTCACTTCTGTATGTGGGAGAAAGATTGAGGTAGGGATCTCGGTGCAGGGGACATACAGTGTACTTGGGGTGGGACTGGGAACCTGTTTTGTGATAGTGGGGTTGTGTTACTGTTGGGTTTTTGCTGTTGCAAAATCTTTTCCTAAATATGAAGGTGATATTGTCATAAATGATTACTGAGATAACTAAGAGTAAATCTGGTAGCCATCCCTATAGTCCTGTCCACTACGCAGAACAAGTACTAAAGACCTATGCACCAACAGCAAAGTGATTTTTCAAAAGATTTAGCAAGCCTGTATCTGTTAATTAAAAATCCTGCTCAAGTCAGTCATATGTAATGCTGCACTTCCAAACACAGATTCTGTTTCTGTCAAGGTGTCTCTTTGAATTGTAGTGGTCTGTCCTGAAAGATAGGAGAGCTAGTCATTGATGGTATAAATTAAACATAGGTAACCTTGCCTTAAATTTCTACTTTTGCTTGAATTCCATTCAAATCAAATTTGTTCTTTACTGGCTTAATTTTGTCTAAGAGAACCTCTCCTCCTCACCTTCCCTCTAATAATTAGCTACTGAAAAATGAAAATCCATCAATGCTGGGCATGTATGCAATGCTAGCAGTCCTACATTGATGTGATCCTATGCTGTTGTCCAAGGTGGTAAATTATGTTGTTTAATTAGGCAGTTGATACTCCTCCTCTTTAGTGGCTATTAACTGGGAGATGCTGACAATGAAAAACTTTATGTATTGCATAGTTGTTCAAAGAAGAAGAAATAATTATTTATCTGTAGCGTATCCAGATAGCAACTTGCCATCGTAAGTCACATAACACAGGTCTGGAGATGGTGAGGGTGCTGGGTAGTAGCTGATGTGGGTTTACTCTTTGTGGGCATGAAATATGCACATGCCACCTTCATCAGTATAGCTGACTTGAGTGCACTAGGTGTATATGCACCAGTAGTTAAATACATCATAGAGGCAAAATTGTTTTATCAGTGATACTGTTTGCTAAAACAAATCTCCCTAAGCAAGGTGAAGATTGTCTTGGCCTGGCATGAATTTGTAAGCCCTCTGTTATGCACTATTTCTGCTGTATTTTTCCCAAACTATTCTAATTCTGTTAACAGATTTTAAGTTCTCTGCCCATATGTGAAACCTTTACTTCTTGAATGCAATCTGAAAAAAACCCTATTTAAAGCCCACTCCAAATATAATCTGTATCTGATTTGAGATAATCTGATAAGAGTCCCTAACACATCCACTTCAGCTTCAGATGGAACTTTTCCTAGCAGCCCTCCTTTCTTTTGCAGCTTCTCTGACAGCAGGATCCTGGGAACTGGATGGGCCTTTTCTTTGCAGCAAGCTGAGTGCCATGTTGTATTTCTGACCTGCGTGGTCCGTAACAAAAACACTTGCTTTCATTAAATCCGAGCAGCTGTTTGGTTGGATTTTATTTGTTGCTTGCATGTTTCAGTACTGATACTTTTTGTCCATACAAGTATGCCTGTGTTACAGCTAGTTGGATGGCATACCAGCCTCACAAACTTCAGCTTTTTTGTTACATGGTGAAATTGTCATTTAAAACATTTAAAACGAAATTACTGTTCTATCTTGCAGCATGTATTCTTGATATCTTATTAGAAAAGGGGGTATGAGAACACGTCCTCTGTACTGTTGCAAACACAGAAAAGCCATGGTACAACTATCCTGCATTTTACTACCCCGGCTTGCTGTTTTCTGTTCCTTGTTCTTTTTTCTCCTGCAGTTTCTCTTCCATTTTTCTCAAAAGAGCAGCCTGAAAATATATAATCTTGCTTCCAAATGTATTCTAAAACAGGTGCCTCTCAGAGGATAGCACACTCATACTGACTTTAGTAGTACTTATTTCCTCTGCTGGTGAAGGTTTCAATGGCTGTCAGAAGTGGAACAATTAAAAGGTTGCAACGATGCTGTTTGAAGTGGAAGTACTGTCACGTGCTCCTGAACATTTAAGGATTTTTCTCTTGGAGTTGGATGGCCTAGTGAGTACTAGCGTCTACTGCTGTACCTGTGCCAATTGTATTTTTCTTAGAATCATAGAATAGTTTGGTATGGAAGGGACCTTTAAAGGTCATCTAGTCCAACCCCCCTGCAATGAGCAGGGACATCTTCAACTAGATCAGGTTGCTCAGAGCCCTGTCCAACCTGACCTTGAACATTTCCAGGGATGGGGCATCCACCACCTTTCTGGGCAACCTGTTCCAGTGTTTCACCACCCTCAGCATAAAAAATTTCTTCCTTATATCTAGTCTATATCTACCCTCTTTTAGTGTAAA